AAAAATTAAAAAATTAAAAAAAATCACAAAATTAAAAAAAAAATACAAAAAATAAAAGAAGAATATCCCCACGACTTGAAAAAGTTGTGGGGGTGAAGCAAAATATCATGGTCGTTTGAATATGTTGGAAATATATGCGAAAAAGAGTTTCGCCATCACGCGGAATAGAACCACCCGGCATTCAGACTTGATGCTGGCGCACTACCCACTGGGCCAAGCCGCTGCTGACTGATTGAAAGTCAGAACATCACTTCAATACACCTAAAATCTTTTCCCCGCCATATCTCGCGTCCCCTTAGTATTTCGCAAAAATTTTTTACATATTTGTGATCAGCTCGAAGAGTTCTACAATTTGATGTATATCTCATCCCGAAACACTGGGTTCAGTTCGTGACCTTCCCTTGTAAATGTAGCTCTAAACGCAAGTACAAATGCAACGTAATTCCACGTTTCATACGTATGAACTTATGATGCGTCATTATTTGTAATCGTTTATAGGAGAAATCATTCTGGTAGTGAGTCTGTGAAATCAAATGTCGTTGTGTCTACTAATGGCAGCAAATCAAATGTGGTTGTGTCTACTAATGAGCTGGCATCATTGCTCACCAGGAACAAACTGAATAACAATAGAGAAGGATCATAGCAAACATCACGGCACATATAAGAAGCGAATTCATGCATTATGCAACTCCAACATCATGGTTCCATTAAAGCACGCAATAGGATCGAGACAGTATGAATATTAACTTATTCAATTCCTAAAATCCATTCTGAATCGAATATTGGTCAAGCGGATCCATGATAAAAATCGATGAAATGAATTCGTGAGCAATGAATCGAGAGACAATGCAACCGAACCAGGTCGACGACAATCTGCAATGATCTGAATGCATCGGTCAATTTTTAGATCTGACAACGAGACACTTCAAGTATATTGGCCAGATAAGGTACGCAGTATGAAGGTGTAAACATTGCATTTTTCCAATCTTCAAAACATCAATTCTATGAAACGGTTCAAGTCAACATAAAGATAAACATATGGGAAAGGCAACATATTTGTTGCATATTCAGCTAAAATGCATGCCTACAATCAAAACGAAGACATTGTTTGAAAGCTATGAATGCTATCATAAGACCTTATCTACGAATATGATCCTTCAGGAATGTGAGAAAAGAAGAAAGGAACGAGGCCTTAAAAGAAGGGCGGAAGAAGAGATCATCATCGGTCGGATTACAGAATCGTTGTATTCAGTCATTGTAAAGCCAACGAAGTGGCATCGTAAGCGGCCAGTGAAGCCGTCGTTCGTAATTGGTGATTTGCAACTGCTAACTAATATTATAAAATTCATTGTAGCCACTGATTGGCATCCTCTCTATTGTGCTAAGAAATAAGTAATTAGTATTTCGAATGTTGTAAATTATTGTAATTGCTGACTACTGTGAGTTATTCTGATTCGCCATTCTTCACATTGTATATTTTCATGTATCGTATATTCTCATATATCCACCGACCTTGTAAACCGTGAATATCCTCAATAAACCTTACTCTATTACTCGACCCTTGCCCATCACACAGAAGTTTTACTAAGGCATAAGGGCCACTTCATCATGTACTATGATTAATGAAGAGAAAAACATTCATTAATCACATGTTTTCCAGCCAAAATAATGCGAGCAATAGGTCTGATATGACAGTAACATTTAAATCTTATAGACTGAGTCGTTTTATGAGCTGATGATACTCTGAATCGAACAATTGAAGAAACTCCGCGGAATTGAATTGTTTTCTGGAAAAAAAGCATGACTGCAAGCAAATTTTACGGTATGCATTCACAGAGAACTTTGATGACAATGAGTAACTTCCAATGAAAATCCGTGATTTGTTGGATGTGAAAGTATTGGGCGTCTTTAGAAGGGAAAATTAGATGAATTAATTCATTGATGTGTATTAATGAAAGCTTTTTCAAGAACACCCTTTCAAAGGAACACAGAGGAAATTGATATGATTGGATTTAATGCGAAAAAATTATGCGATCCAACGAGCTTTGCTCAATATTTAAGCAGAGGATGATAGCTCGTTGTTCACATTAACATCCACCATCGTGCTCATTTAGTCCTTGAAAGTTGATCTGAAGCTTCTTTTTATGACACACTGATTGTGCATTCACGCAAATAACGCTCGAATGCTTTACCAGGTGGACATGATGTTGTTACGGATATTTCTGTTGAACTGTTTCGTTCAGTTATTCCAGTCATTTGATGAAAGAATCGCTTATGGCCAGGCAGTGGATCCAATGCGATTTCCATTCGTTGTGCACATTACAACCGGCCGGTCTGGTAAGCAATTGATTCCGTCATTCATCTAGCACAGTAGTTCTCATGAGGGGTGAAATTACCCATTTTGGATAATTTGGAGGTGTCAAGGGGTATTTGAGGAGGTTGGGAAATTAGTATTTCGTGCAGTTGTTATATTATGATAGAACGCCATTGTGATGGTGTTCTTTAACTCGGGTATGTAAGTGCGGTTAGTTGATGGCAACACTCTTCATTCTCTTATTTTCTGAGTATCATTATCTTTTGCAGGCCTAAAAGGGTTTTTATTTGTTTTAGCAGGGTTTAAGTTCTTGTTATTACTGCTACAATCACTCTCATAGCTTTTATCACCAAAAGTATTTTCTTATGTTAATTTCTCATTCATTTCTTTTAAAATTTAGAGTCAAATTTTCATTCTCTCAAACACACTCTGTAATTGTTCATTTGAACGTTGTTAAGCAAATCAATTCGATCGATGTATTGTTGATTTCGGTTGTCAACAATCGTCAACGTATTCAATAAATAGTATAAGTTCATTTGAAGGGTGAAGTTAAATGAGACGAAGTGAATGAGAAAAACTCATCAATAGAACGATATTCGCATATAATAGCTATGAGAGTGAATACAACACGTCTGAAAAGAATGAGAATCCATCTAAATCAGTTTGAAGTGAGCGTGTCATAGACAATAGCTTTTCATGCAATCATAATCGATTGCAATAATGTATCAGGGAGGGAAGGGGGGGGGCGACCTGCCAGATCATCAAAAAGTGTAATGGAGCACCCGAACGTGAGAACCATTAATCTAGCATTTCACACATTTCATTAAAAAGATCATTTTCGATCACTTAAGTTGAAATCAATCCAGTGAATAGATATTTTTCGTTAGTTGATGCGTAATTGGCTACGGCTTCAGCTAACATTAAATTCATTGACTCTATTCACGACCACCGATCAGTGTTGAATGGACGAAAATTAGGAAGGGTAGTTTCATCTTGTCTCAATTGTTCCATTTGAATCATTGCATGATGAGTAGTCGGCACAACAAACCTCGAGAATGAACTTGTTATGGTAAAATTTCTCCATGTAATCTACAGATAAGAAATATCTGATAGCAACATGTACGGGCACTCTCATCTCGAGATCAGTCATCATAACGGCAGGCCATTGTGCTGGGTTAGTGAAATTGGCTTTGAATTTATTCTAGATTCATCATTACCTATTGAATTCAGTCTTTCGCAAATGGTATCTTCAACAAACTGATATCCTCCGGAAAATCAAAATTTTCTCAGCTGAGATGTGCTCATTTGGTTTGTTATCACTGTTTATCAGTTCGTTCAGTTCAACAAATTATGAATTGTGCATCAGCAACATTTATCGAAAGAATATTGAGATAAATTTGAAGTACTGCAACAAAACAGTCAATTTCGTAAGTTGCATGTTCGTTATTTGAAGAGAAGACAAAGAGCTGATTTTCAAAGAGGTGAAATTCTTGCGACAAACATCCAGTGGACCAACTCCGTACTTGACATTGCCGGCTACTTCGAAACTTTTCACAAAAGTCGATCCTGATGAATATTTCCTTGAACATCGAGTACTGGTGAGTTGTTCATTGAAATGCACGACCCAACTATTACCTAGACATCGACTGACATGATGAATCCTTTCAAGATTCACATGGTAATTTATGATGTTGATGAGAACGGATGAATACTTGTCAAGCACGCATTTAGGTTTTCTATGAAATCCCTCTGAAGCCAAAATTCTAGCCGTCCTGAGCGCTCATGAACCAGGCGACATATGAAAGCACAACTCTGGATAATTTCTGGATAACTTAAAGCTACGAAGCCATTTTGCCGCTTATTTTCTGCTACTTCCTGCTAAAATCATTGCTGCAGAGTGGAATGGAAGTCGGTGATGTGATGTGTAGCGAAGAAAAAAACTATAATGTGGACTAAGTACATGATTTTTGACAGTCGTAATTTTGTGGATACTTCATAGCAGTAGTTGGAACTGATGCAAATTATCAGCAAACCGAGTTCGTCATTTGCGATTTCATCAGTTTAAATGAGAGCTGAATTGTTCAGAAGGACGACGAGAATGCTTATGCGGACATCGCACTGTTTGCGCTAAACTATTCGCTGCCAGTCTGTAATGATGATGCCAATGATTATGCAGTACTTAGATTACCAATTGCAAATATTAACGATTCAAAATGGATTCCTGAAAATGGATCAATTTCGGATTGCCGAATGTTGGGATTCGGCGCCTATGAAAACGGTAAATATTTCAGTATCACTTGCGTCACTCTTCACGTTGTATTCTCATCGAAAACTGTCGTTACTGTAACGGAACTTCGCACAAGACCTACACATGAGTCTAAATCTGCGATGGGCTATGAATGTGCGAAAATCTTCACACGAATTTTGCCACCACTACGGAATGCACTGAAGAACTGATAACAAATTCAGATGCCAAATGTTCAGATCAGCCAAAAGCGCTTTGAAATTTGGAAATTATTTGTTGCTTGGAAGCATGTCGATCGCTACTGTTGCAGGACTTCAGGGTGAGACTCTTCGAGTACTGCAGCTCTCGCTGAGAGATCATCAAACGGTTTTGTACACACAGGCGTTACCGGGACAAGAATACGGAAGAGCTTGTCAGGCGAGAGTCCTTATTTGAGAATACAACTTTGGAATCCGGAATTTTTTTTGAAAAATAATCAGAACACCTTCTACTGTTTGGTCATGATCATGGGATTCCCCTGAAAATCATGGCCCAGCATTCAAATTCAATACGTAACAATTCCCATTCACGTGTACATGTCCAGCATACAAGCTCCCAGCACATTCATGTATGCATGTACATGTACATGTATACATAAATCTGTTGGAGCTTGTATGTTGATAATGGTTTCAGATGATAAACAACAAGCGATTAGGTTAGAATCTCTCCAGTACTGGCATCTTCTAAAATTTTCAAAAGCCATTTTAACACACAACATTCAGGCCGATTCTGGTGGACCGGTAATGTGTGAACTTGACAATAATGGACCTCGTTTGATTGGCATTACCTCATTCTCGTTCAAAGAATTATACGAGGATCGACGTCGATGCTTTGCAGAAGTGTGATATACAGTATACTGTTACTCCCTCAGAATATTTCTTGGAAGCCAAAATAACTAAAACATTCCGGAATTTAATGCTCATCATTAAAAATCGCCGTTCCATCGAGCGTTTGATTTACCAAACAAGCTGCTTAACATTCACTGAATATAGTGAACATTTTGCGTAATAATGTCGCAGTGATTCACAGCGGTAGAGGTACCAGCCAAAAACATTCCACGATTGCTACGAACTGTGATATTATCACTTTCTCTTCAGAGACGCCCGATGATGTACGACGTATATGTGAACGTTCGCAGAGTGCTACCAGTGATTCGGAGCGGCCTGGAGGCGATCGGCAAATTGGACGAATTTATTGAAGATTTCAATAAGTGCTCCCGTCAATGATACATCTCAATCCTTGGGCAATTTGTTTTTGACACGCTTATGTTTCTAACCTTAAGAGGATTTTCTTCATAAGGCTGGATAATCACCTATTAAATTTCATAATGCTCTCATAGTCACTGTCGTTGTTTATTGTTAACGTGCTGACATCGTTCCACGGTGCCGAAATCTGCTGTGAATCTGCATTGCTCTCCCATTGTTTCATGACATTACTTACTTTCATGGCATCATTTCTTAAGAAATCATTGCATAACTTGTTCGTGAAAACAGATTCTGACAAAGACTTTAGTTCTGCACGAAGCGTATATTTTCATTCTTGTCAACACTCGCTCCATTATACCGTTATTTACTCTTGCCTCAACCATCGAATCTCATCCGATTTCATATTTCTACTCTTCCATCGGATAATTCAGTAATATACTAACCAGTAAATGGTTCCGTTGCATTTTGCTATACCATTCTAAGTGAATGTGTATTGGTCAGTCACTGCTGTCAAATAAAACTGATTTTTAAATGCGGACACACATAAACTCGAATAAAGTCAACTGCCTTATTCTCGATATTCGAGGACATAACACATTTAAAATACTATTATAGCGCATTTTTCTTTGATGAGATGTCAGAGCGCAGGTATGTGTAGTCTTGTGTGGCATAAGAAGGTCTACTATCATGCAGAACTTAACGGAGGGAGGATGTTGTGTTTCTATCTGACGCTTCGTCGTGGTCTGCAATCTGCTCATTATCTCGTTTATTGTTTAATTGGCTATCCGTGATCTTATGCCTGTAGCAATGAAATGTACTTCACGTACGCTAAAATGTTTGCACAGAATATTTATCAGTCCATGTTTATTCATTTTATTTCCGATAGAAAATTGAACGGCTTTCATATTTCGAACAATTTTCAGTAGCTTTGCAGAAAGCCAGTTTTTTTTTGCCTATGAATGTATTCCCAATTATGTATATCGTGAGTACGGGAAAGGGTTCGCGTGTGTAGCCCCTTAACTAAAGAAGTGCCGGAAATTTGATTATCACATCGTTAATTCTCAATAATTTTAAATAATTTTAACTGCTGGCTATTATCATTGGTTACGGCAATCATTCCAAATGCCGTAACTGCTTCCACACGAAACCAAGCATAAAATGTTGTATAATTCTGAATAGCGTTAACATGAGTTATTGGTAGCCTCGTCGGATCTGGTTTCATCTTTATGTTAACGTATTACAGAATGCTCTTTATTGGACACTGACGTTTTCTACTGTTTCATCGTTATCCGTATTCCATTAATTTGCTATTGTATCAGTTTAGTTGCTGAGTGAATTGAGCATGTCTGACAGAGCGTACGCAATTGAAGAAATCCTCGAGGATAAAGCAATTATTAAAGGAAATCGAGCACAGAAATTCTACCGAGTTCGATGGGAGTGAGTAGCATTTTATTTCAT